TGCACCATAATCTTTACACACATCCTGCACCGACAGAAACCTTGCAAATACTTACAGCATCTAACTAGGAGAGAGAATGTATGCTATATGCTGCCAGTTTATCTGCTGTTGGATGAATCAATGCTTTATTCTTCTATTTCTCCCCATATTTTGGAGGGCTCAAAGTGTTTTACAAGGAACTTCCTCCCAGCAATACACAAATGCAGTCATTTCTGGACAAGGATAAGAGCAGAATGACGGAAGGAATGGAAAAAGATCTCAAACTCTGAAGAACTTCATCAAATCCAATTTATGGGGAAGAGGGTTGGAGAAATACATGTCAAATAATCCACAGTGGTGGAAGAGAAAAGCCAGCAGATCTGGTAGTCAGAAGAAGAGGGGTGAGGGGCAATCCTTCCGACTGCCGAAATGTCCTCCTTGCAGAGCTAAAGCTGGGTCTGTGAAGCTCCGTGTCGGAAGGCACAGGGCTGGCCTCTGCACCCTCTGTGACCCACGTGTCTGCATTGTGTGGTCCATAAGCCACTTTTCTACTCAGAACATGAAAATGGCTTTCGTACACACAAGAAAAAAAAAATATCCATTTTCTTCAAACCGCTCCCCTACTATTTCATGCTTTCCTCCAACTTCTCCCTTCTTAGTCAGACAAGGCAGCTGACCTCTTTAACCATGATGAACTCTGCAACACAGCCCTCTGCATAAGGCTTTCCAGCACGTGGTGTTTACATTCAGAAAGACGATTTTCTTGCAATAACTATCCAAGTCCCCAGAGCAAAGACATCAAAAGAAAAGCAAAAGTCCATAATGTGTTGTATTCACTATGTCATAGGCAGCATTTACCAGCACATTGCATAGATCAGACTTTCAATACTTCTCCAAGAGGCACCAAGTCTTTAAGCCCTGGAAGCCCAAGATGCCCTCAGAGCTGGTCACACCAAGCCACAAAGCTGAGCCGCTGCTGCCTTCTGCAGCACGCAGACGTGCAGGTGCTGTCAGGGAGCAGCAGAGAAGCCAGGACAGCATCTCAAGTGAGCAAATAAAGAATGAAAGAAAAGAAGCTGTTGCTTTGCCTTGTCTCCAACGATTTGGGGAGAAAGAAAGGAGAGAAAACAGCCTCATTCCCTCTCTCAGGGAAGTGTAACCACTCACTGGGAGAAGCGCTCAGTGTACAGGCTCTGTTAAGCCTTGCAGAAAGGGTTACCTTCATTACGGGCACCACCGGCTTTCCTGCAAAATTATGCCAGGGAAGAACTCACCCATTTTAGCTTACTGATATCCTCACCTTGCATCCTGCACCAATAACCGTGCTGTGCTGAAACCAGTCATTGCATTTGTTAAATCTAAAAGGATGTAAGCCCTGAGGAACATGAACCTTGCCTGTTTACCAAGCAGCCAACAGCCTGCGGGCAGGATCCGTGCAAAATGCTTTTCCTGCAGTATCCCTGGGCAAGAAGGGATGATGCTCTGTCCCCAGTGAAACCTGCCTGCAGGTGACAAGGTAAGCTGGTGACACTCCTTATGTCAAGTAAATTATACCAGCAAAAGGTCTGGCTTCACAAAGTGGACACCCATGAAAGAAAAACAATTTAATGGGAAGTCATTCGTCATACTAATGGCCTTACTAAATGACACCATTAAAGAACTGTAAGCAAGAGATTGGTAATGAGCAAGTCAATGTTATCATTTGCTCTCATTCTACAGGCTGGCTCAAGACTAACTGCAGTTTTTATTGTAAAGGAGAATGGATTAAAGAGACTTATAAGGAAATCAAAGTAATTAGGCATATAAACAAGCTGGCAGGTAAACGATTGTGATTCAGTGAGGCAACTGTCATCCTCTAAAGGAAGGATGGTACACGTTTGTATTATTAGTTTCTTTTCACTCTTCTTTTATCTCACTTCAGATTACTCCTCACATGATCACTAGCATCCTTACAGAGCACCAGACTGAGCTGAGTACGGCCACGCGGCAGACGGCCAGCCCTCCCCGCGGGTAGGAGTACGAGTTTGTCCACTGCCGAAATGGGACTTCACAGCAAGTTTAGACTATGGCTTTTCTCCCAACTTTCCCAAACTTTGGGACATCTGACGCCTGGGAAGAATCCCTCCCCAGGGATGATCATGACAGGCAATCCAGGTTAACACAGGCTGGATGTAGGATCTGGTCCAGCCCACTTAACCTTAGGCATTTAATGAAGCACTCGGTTTAGTTTTCAGCAGTGCCTCATGTAGTCAGCACAGGGAGATGAGTGCCTGCGGTGAATGAGCTCAGGTATTGTAGTCTCTTTCATGAAGAAGTGGGACAGTACAGTAATTCTAAATGCTAGTTCATAACTGTGTATTCATTTGAAATGACTCATTCATTTGAAAGTCAGCGCTGCCTAAAAATTATTTCCAACTCCCCAAAACATGGACTGCTACCATTTTTTTAAACTAATTCAGCTTAATGTGCCATTCAGAAACCCACACCATTGCTTTGCGACTAAGACTGGTTATTTTGCCAAAGGTTGCAGTACTCTGACTCCACATCTGCTGAAGATATGATGCAGTCTCAGATTTTCTGCTGTAGTCTACCATGATTAATTTTAGTCTATGCAAGTGGGCGGCAGAACAAAGGGAGATGTAGTCATGGAAGCTAGAATTTGTATCAAACTACGGGAAGATTAGCAGTACCTAAACACTGTAACGTCTCAGCAGGGAATATATGAAACAAGTAAACATTAGAAATAGCACATCCCAATAGGGCACGTAGCATATCCCAAACTGTACAGCTAGCAGACAGATAGGGTATTCTGTACTAATGATGTGCCAGAGGGAACCTCTGTTCTACTCTCTGGTTTTGGTTGAGGATTTTATTAGTGTGTGAGCAGTTCTGTGCATATAAATGCACTCCTTACAGCTGTCATCCAACTGCATCAGCACATGAGCAACTTTAATACATGGATACATAGATATAATAAATGCACTTTTTTCCTAATGATTTTTCCGTATGAAAAAGGAAATCCTAATGCAGCACGCAGGCAGCAGAATGGACGGAGTATGCAGGCAGTGGCTGTGTCTGAAAAGATGTATGGATATGTGTGTTTGTGTGAGCTTCTGTTTGCATTAATTCATACCCACAAACACTTACGTGCTATATGAGCCTAGAAGAGCAGATCTGAAAAAACATTTTATGCTTTATATCCATTATGTACTTTTGCTGTCAGCTCGCATACTGAGATCATTGCAACAACTGGGACACTTCTGATGACACAGAAGTCCTCAATATAATCTAGTATTAATTTGTAGCTAATATAATTTTAAAGAGAAATATTTATGGAAATAAATTTTGTTTAAAAAATAAATTTTGATTAAAATGAGTATTTTGGGAATCTGTCTCACAGAAGCATTTTTTTTAAAAAAACACAGATGTTGAAATTCCCTTTAAATCAGTTTTTGACAAGCTCAGCTGTAAGGAATGGGATAACTGGCAATCTCTGAAACTTCTAACGCTTTATGTATGAGAGAAAAGGGGTTGTTGAAGATTGAACGTTTACCAGACCATTTTTTTTTCTAGAAAAGAAAGTAGGAAATTTTTTCATCTGTGACCAAATTAATGTCTATCTACGCGACATTTACAAATTTTAAATGTGAGCCCATGTTTATCATGGGCTGGATCTTATGTCTGTAAAGCTTCTAACAGACTTTGGTGTGCTAAGCAAAGAATAAAAGTACACCCCCAAAATGCAAATTTTTATTTGCTGTATATTCATAAACTTCTCAGAAATCTAATAGGCTTTTCAAGTACTCAAAACTACTTTCTTAAAAATACTTCTTGTTCTTTGCTAGGAGTAGCTCACATAATGAAAGTATCCACTTTAAGATACTTTCTTTCATTTTAGCCTTAGAGCAATAAACTTTCATCTCGAGACGCCTGTTTCCACAAGGCACCTCCCTGGAACAACCTCAAAATCCTGCAAAAAAACCACTCCCTTTGATGGGAAGAAATGGAGGGGAAAACCCCCCCAAAACTTAAGGGCTTAATAGGATGAATGGAAATAGCAGAAGAAAAAAATATGAACTTTTATAATACACCTTTTAGTAAGACACATTTGCACATTGGAGGCGGTCAGTCGACAACCTCTCTCGAGAGCTGCTATCCATTGCCAGTGAGCAGTGCAGTGAAATCTGGACAGCAGCAAGTGATGTAAACCTTGACTCACTGTGTTTTCAAAAGGAAAACAGGGCTGTGGTCTGTATTTTGCAGGAAAAAAGACACCACATAAGGACTGCATTCTGTTCCCAGCCCAGAGAAGTCATAGGTGTGTAACTGAGGACAGTACTTCATTCAGATACCACAGACCAGAAACTGGTTTCCATTGAGAAACCAGGACTTTATTTTGGGCCTTTGTCAAGCTAGTGCAATGACAATTTCACAGAACAGTAAACTTCACCACCAACTTCAACTGCGGTCAATATAGTACTTGGGAACAACATCAGTCAACGTCCAGAGTATGAGCCTTTGCAGTTTACCTTATGGAATAATCGAGATGCCACACACTCCTCTTTCTGAAAGCTGGCCCACAAGAGCCAGTGGCTGTAGCTGACACCCAACACACTGGAATACTAGCTCTGAGTTCTACCTTATAAAATGTTGCTAATTTTACTCTATCTTCTGTTTGTTTAAAGCTGTATTCTGCCATCTTACATGTAACACAAGACATACACAGATCCACATAAAGCAGTGGGGCACTCTGTCTGCCGAGGCATTCCCAAATAACCACTGATTGCCTGTCATGAGTTAAGGCACCATGAAACATGAGAGGGAAGGCAAATAAAACCTGAAAACATGCACAATTCATACCACTGCAAATGCTGATCTAATGGCTGCCTACCAGAGACCAACTTTTTTTTGTTAGAACGTGCTTTATAATGGCACACTATGCAACACAATTTAACCAGGTGATTGATAACAGCATTTTAAGAGTCACAGATTAATGCAGAGCATAGTAGCTGCTAATTTACCTCCATCTTGTGAGTTCATGATATTCAGAGCAAACAGCATTGCATTGGAGAACGTGGTAGCCTCTTCTTTGTTTCTGACAAAATACAAGCCATAGACTTGCCGTGCATCGCGCCATTGATGAAAGGTAGGTGTTGCTTGATTGTACTTCAGTCCTTTCACAATTGAATAATTAACCTGAACCCTTTGGTAAATGTTAAATAAATTGGTAGCAGCAATTCCTATGGCAGCTCCTACATGGCTGTACAGTGAGGCAGTGAGTGTTTCAATGACAAGATCCACATCTGAGGGTGAGATTTACAACAGTTCAATTCAGCCTCGGGGACTTGCAAGCTGGTTTTGCAAAATCTATTACCTGCGCCTCGTGTTTTCTACAGCACGTCCGCAGGATACAGCTGTGTGGATCCTGCAGCCAGATGTCAGGAGCCAGGGCCAGCAGCTGTTGCCATCTTTTAGGGGATGATCATGCACAATTGTCAGAAAAAGAGCCAGAGAGAGCTCTTGGCACTAACCCTGCCCTACAGCAGATAAATGTTTGACTCATTGCATCTGCTCTGCTTTTCTCCTCCCAAGTGCCTGAGCACCACCAGCTTCTGATGTTGAGAGAGTTTTTTCTCTAGAATCAGACAGGCAGTGAAAAAAACAGACAACTAAATATTTCCTCTCCCACCTCCTCCCTTGCTGTACTCGCTATGAGTTCCAGGTAAGAGGTGACTGCAGCAGAAGGGTGTTTCTGTATGTTATGATCTAATCTGCTAAATACTGTGCCCTCTTAATCCTTAGGCAGGGCATACGGGGCATCCAGCTACACAGTACATGTGGGATCTGACCAGAAACCTCCAATGCTAAAAGCATAAGCTCAAGGTGGAAAGGCAGGAGTGTCGACTGCAGCACTGATAAGCCAGACCCATGGCAGAGACAGCACGCCCGAGATACTCGTCTGCGGGCTGACAATGGCACTCTCTTGTCATGCAAATTGAAGAACCAAAATGCTGACAGAAAGAATCATAATTATTCTCATAAAAAGGCACGGTGCAGTTGAAAACAGAGAAGGAGTGGGAAATGGAGGCTCCCTCATCGTCAGCCTGCAGAGGCTGGGGTCTGTAGTGAACCAGGGACAGAGAAACTTAAACTATGAGCAAGTAAAGTCTGAAGTTCATTATATGGAGACCAGCAAAGAAGCCACTACACCAGTAGGTAATTACAGATATACCCTACTTCTATAATGCATTTACTTACATGAGTCAGCATTAAACAGTAAAATAGCAGATAGTCTTTAAAAACTTAGTCTAGCTTTGGGCATAAATTATCCCAAAGTTTATTGAATGTCAGGTATCCGGTCCAAGTGTTGCTCTCAAACCAATATCGTTATTAAGTTTCCATGTAAATGCACTGGGTGGCTATCAGACTTACACTGCTGGTTTTTTTCCACATTTCATAGAGAGATTTCTGACCTGGGAGATGAAGGGCAGCCTGTGTTCGGTACACCAGCTTCCAGGAGTTGGCCCCGTGAAAATGGGAACTGCATCACCAGCATGCTGCATGGAAAGCCACCCACGCCAAGCAGAATGACGTGGAAACCATGCCGCTTCAGTCACAGCAAAGCCACAAACTCTTACAGCTCACAGCTTAGATGGCCCTTTTCTCTTGAAACATGGTGACACCATCCCCATTCTACCACTGAGCATGGGAGAGCCTGTTCCAATGTTGCTCATATTAAAGGTGCCTCTGGAGCATCAAGTAGGCTCATGCCTGGATTACTAACCCAACAGTTTTAACATGTACCAGTTTTTAAGTTTTCCAGCCACTTCTGAGTAGCTTAACCAAGGGAGGGCACAGCCAGTATCTTTGAGGAAATGTTTAGAAAGACTGTGAGCTTCTACTGGGCTTTGCAAAGTGACTATTTCTCACCTGCTAAAAGAGCCTTCTGTTTCAAAGGACAGCACTATTAAAGTCCAAAGAGCACCAGAGGGTGTACTGCATTTGTATAACAAAAGACAGAAATTGTAAAAACGTATGCCAAAAATCATTTAACAGAAGCCAGGTCAACTGTTCAAAACCTGCTTTCCCAGAACATTGACTTAAGGAACTCAGAGAATCCACTCTATACTGAGAGTTTGATCCCTTCAGTCGAACAAAGACAGAATATGAATGTTGACCTTCATTAATAATCAGGGTGCCTTGTATAGAAGGCATATGAAGACATGTAACATTTTGTCTTCAAACACAAAACAGAGAGTTTAAAACTGGGAAATGAAACACATAATAGCCAGAGTTTCATTTTATCTCCTTTGGCTAATGTTTCTAGAAAGCAGAAAAAAGAGAATAGGATCTCCTGCTGTTGTTAAGAACAAGTGCACACAGGTATCCGGTACAGATGGTGTTGAGACTCTGCAAGGCACATGATGATAACTTAGTGCTTCAGAGCAGTAATTAAAACAAAGAAGGTCTCCCTGTTAGGAGCACAGGGGTTTTTTTTACAGGTGTTTCTAAGGTATCTTTACTCTGAAGCTTCAGATGTCAGTAAGATAGCATCTGCCATGCTGAGCAGACCAACAATTCATCTTTTAATCTTCCGTGGTAGTCTGTAATAGGTGAATTGGAGAAACTTACTGGAAATCTCGCAGAAATAAGCCATGGATTTGTCCATAGCAAACAGTTCATCCTATAACCCTTCACCCAGAATTGTCTCAAAAGCTGAAATATGACATTTTATGTGCCTATTTTTTCCTTTTCTAGCCATTTCTAGTATTGTCTACCCTCAAACAAAGTAGTCTTGTTACTGATATAAATGTCTGTGTTGTTTCAAACCGTGTTAAATTCTGGCTTTCAATGATCTCGTATGGCAAGCAGTTTCACAGACCCGTTGTGCATAGTATTAACATGTTGACACCTTTCCATGTTCCCATCACTATAATGTTAAAAAAAATATTTCCTTCACTTTTGCCTGGTACTCTCCTTCATCCTTTCATCTCAGTTTCAACTGTAGGCTCTCTAGGGGCAGGCATGGAATTTTGGTTTCTGTTAAAAAGCTCACAACCGAGAAGCCCTTCCCTTTGACTGCAGCCTGTAGGCTGCCGAGTTATAAGCTGCCAGCAGTGATGATGGTGGTGGTTGACAGGACTCACAGGAATGGGGCTAGAAGGGATTGAGGGGGCCTTAGGGCCATATCTGAGGTGTAACCACAACCACGATCATGGGAAGAGCTCCCACACAAGTCTTACCACCCATACTCTTGTTTATTGAACGAAAAGAAGACATTTGCTTGTTTCTCCAGAGGATGAAATGGTTCAGAAGTTTGCTATCAGCTTGGGGTCTGCCGCACTGCCAGCGCTCAGATGTCTCATGGGGAGCAGTTATATGGTTGCTAAAACAGGGAGGATACGGCGCAACAGCTAAAAACTGTTACAGTTGAGGTCAGATGCTTTACTTCTGTAAGTAGGCCCAAACCTGACCAACTTCTAATAAGTTACAGTGATGAATAATTGGTTCTTTATTTCTCAAAAAATGTGGTTTAGTTTATAGCCCAAGAATGCTGTCCCTGTTTTAGTTTTGCCTTAGGCTCAAATGTAAATGGCCCACCTTCCCCAAGGCCCTGTTTTTACATTCGCTTCTTAGCCACATCAACACAGTGAACTCTCAGGAGATATGACTCACTTTTGACTTGCACTCTCCTCCCTGCCTGTTTGTTCAGCACGTGCCATTCGCTGATGAGATCACGCTGAGCTGAAATCACTTGATGTAAAATTACAATTTTAAACCCTCAGCTGATTAGGACTCCAAACTGGGAAGCTACTGCTTGTCAGCTAAGCCATAAAGATGGACCACTTGTAGTTTTTAGCTTTGTGAACTTCTTGCATGGTGACTGAAGCTAAAGCACTTCACCTTTACAGCAGGCTAGGTTACAACAGCTGGCACATTGCAACGTGGGGGTTTGCGTGCGACTGTTGGGCTTTGAGAAAATGAAGGCTCCAAGGAAACATCAAAGTTCATGAGGTCAAGCGATAGTAATACTGATCTGGCCTTAGCTTCAAACCAGTTCTGGCCTCTGTGGCCACTTCAAAGCTTCACAAGTCTTATTCTGGTTTTCTGAAGATTACCACTCATGCCAGCATGAGTCTACGCAAACGTGCGTGCCTGTGCAGAGCTGAGAGGAAAACTCATGCACTGCTGGCCTGTCCCTCTGCACTGCTGCTGCACGCCAGCACATCAGGAGCGCGGCACCCAGACGCACAAGGACAACGAGAGTTCGGGTGACCGCTTCCCGGCGGTGAGAACGATGATCAAGTTCTGCTGCTCTAAAAATCATATTCCTTTGCGGTGAACTTTTTAGACACCGTCAGCTAGAGAAGAAGATAAACACAGATAAGGTAAGCAGAATGGGAAGGCAGTATCACAAACTCTAACATGTGCACCAAAAAAGGGCTAGAAAACAGTAAGGCAGTTAGACAAAGACCACAAAAGGAGTCTACAAAAGAAGGTACTTGAAAAAAAAAAAAAGAGGATGAAAATTAAAGAGAGGGGTTATTAAAGGTGTAATATACAACAACAAAAATTAAAAGAGAAACACTGAAGGCAGGCAGGGGTGAAGTCATGAAGATTACTCTAGTCTGTGCCTTGCCAAACAGTATGTAATAAAACTTAAAATTGTTCCTTTGTGGTATTGTTGTGTTACATATTTTACACTAGTTTCTCAGCTTTTGGAAATCTGTGTAGCTTCATTAGCTTCATTACATGCCAAATTACATATTAGCTGAAGATTGGTCCTTTTCAGAAAAATATGGCTTTCCTGGCAACAGCTTTTACTAAAACCTCACTTTCAGTGTGATGTAGCACCAACTGAGACCAAGCATGAAATGGCTTGTACAGAGAATTATTTTAACTGAAATTCATTTTTGTTACCATTAAATGCAAATACTAAGCAAGCCTAGCAAGCTTATGATTCCATGTGAGACAATCATAAAATATATTAAATTCTGAATCTTGAGACTTTCAGAGCGTTCCTTTTAATATTACTATGCTACGTTGTCATGAATTTGCTCTATTCATAATACTGGATTTCTGTAATCATATTTAAGGTGGATATTTTCTTTTAGACAGTTTTATGTGACTAAGGTAACCTGCGCTTTTTTGTTTGCTTGAGGGAGGATTTTTCTTCTTTAAACTCTAGAGAAATATATGCTTCTACGTGTTTCTTCTTGATCTGAGATGATTTTTAAATGGCATGCAGCCTCTTCGTGAATAGGAACATTTGCAAGCAAGTAGAGTGTTACAGTTCATGCAAAACAGGTTTAAAGTACAGACCAAGATTTGACTTTTTAAATTGTACACTCTGATTAAGACAGACCTCTAGTAGATAGTCGCCCTTACATATATATGTAGACATTATGACTTTTGCTTGTTCTACTACAGCCAGTCAGACCCACCTTATGTTGTAGTCACATGAAAATCATCTACATTCACCTGCTGGCTATGTAAAATAAACAGCTAGCATGGCCTGTTACAAAGCAGTACTGGCTTTCACAACTGACTAAGGAGCCATTGTATTTCACTTATTTTTGAAAATATTTTCTATTTTTGAAATGGAACTACGTTAATATATTGCCTTTGCTCTACTGAGAAAGATAAAAGCAGTGGCAAAAGATATGGCAGATGTTTCAAAAGTGCACTGCAAGGAGCTGAAAACCAATGTGCTCAAAACCCCCACCTATACCTATTCTGCTTTTCCTTTTCAGAGTGATGGCTGTGTGCACGGACATTGTAGCAGCATCATTAGCGCTTCTGGTAAGCAACCTGACTAACTTCTCCAGTTGGCCCAAGCATCATTACAGCTTACATCTGGGGGACATCACCTGCATTTCCATGAGCAGGTTGGTCAATTCAATGTTTGTGGCAGCTGAGACGTGGTGGTGTCCCTGCTCCTGCTCTTGGGCTTGGCTTGGCTTGGCTCGCTTTGCCCTGCCCGTCTTTCACCTTCCCAGGAGGCAACACCACTCTCTGAACCAACAGGAAATTAATCACTCACTCTTTTTTGATTCTTCTGCCAGTCTGAGAGCTCGAGGTGAGCACGAGAGGTGGGCAGGCGGGGCAGGCTGGGCTGCCACCATTGTAACAGCTTCACGCCAACACACAGAAGGAGTCCCCAACTCTGAAATTTCTGCTCTAAAACACAAATGGCACTATGGTATAGCGCTGCTACTCCACTCAGATAAATTTTTGTAGTTTAAGGTCTAAACATGACAGTTGGTTACGGACCATCTGATGGTACACGCTGCCTGGCACCCGCGAGCCATGCTGCCAGGAGCAACACCATGGCAGCGCTGGACTGAGCACCGTGCTTTGGTGGCCGAGGGGGCTCTGATCCCAGTTCTGATGATCTAAATCCCATATAACTCCTTTAATACCCAAGGAGGTCCTGCAGACTTAAGCTGCCACAAATCAGATCACAGTGTGTACCCAGGAATTTAAAATGCATTACGAGGAACTAATTACTTATCACAGCAATGTAACAATCACACTTTGTGAGATGGCAGTGCAGAACAATTGATTTATTTTTTTTTTAACATAGTACCAAAACCAAACAAAAAGCAAGTTGGGGGAGCTGAGAGCAAAACCTGCAGAATGAAATAAGACTCATTTCACAAACAAAATGGAGGGGTGGGAAAATAACATTAAAATCTCTCTGGCATCTACCAAAAGTTCTGTTTGCAACTAAGCAGTAATGAAATACGAAACATTCTGTGTGCAAAAAATTATATAACAACTGAATGACTGGAGGAAGCAGAGTCGAAGGCACCTTGCAGGGAGCAGGAAATGCTGCTAGACTGCATTAAGCAGAGAACTGACGGTATCAAACGAGATCAAAGGTTAATTCACAGGAAACGCGACACAGTTACTCACTTGTTGATCTTGCAGTTTAACTCCAACTACCCTGAAGGTGTTGGTGGCCGTGTTGTGGTATATGTTGATTCTGCTGAATCCCTGCTGTCCTGGTTTGATTGGCACCCATTTCTTACTTGTATCGTCATAGACCATAACTGAAGCCCGGGCTTGGCAAATACTCTGTTCACTGGAGAGCAAAAAAAACAAAAACAGGAAAAAAAGCATTGAATTTGCTGCCTACTACTGAAAACATCTGAAGGAAAAGAAACCAAGAGAAATTATCAGAACTACTTACAACGTACGTTTTATAAGAGATCTGCTAATCCTTTGAATGCAATCTGTCTCTTAAATGAAAGCTGGCATGTATGTGTTCATAGACAAAAAAAACTCCAGTATGCTGCTGTTTTGAGCTGATAATCTATTTTATATAGAAATATTAGGCCCTGAGGAATAACCTGTATCACACAAACGTTATGAAATCTGTCCAACAGTATGAATGCTCCGTTTATTTTATGCCCCTATTGGCAAGTGAAGCCTTTCACATTTGCATGAAAACTTAACCAATATTTTACAGCCTACTGACAAAACAAACGTGACATCCATAGCTCAGTTACACATTTAAAACTGGAAGCAAGCAGACCTCAAACCAAAAGCCACGTTAGGTAAACTGAAGAAATCAATTATGTAAATCCAGCTGACGCCTAATACCCAGACCCGCTGACGCACTTAGAAGTCCCGGACTACACGGTGCAAACCACAGAGGAACTCTTTTTTCCTTCATCCTAGTAGCAAAGAAGGTGGGAAAGGGGGATCCATGAATGTCTGCATTTCGGTGTTAAAGTACATGGCCATCATTTTGCATGGCATTAATAACTCTTTTTCTTCTGTAGATTCACAGAAATTCATCAGTTCTCTACCTCTTGCTTGCATATTCGTGACTAACATACGTATACTAGATTCGTACTAAAATACACCCTTCTTGTGCAAGAAATGCCATTGGCAAACACAGTTGAGGTGACATGTCAATATGGATCAGGATTTCAGTTCCCTCTCTCCTGAATTCCCAGCCATGTTTTTATACCAGAGGAAATGAGAGTTCCTTGTACAAAGGACAAAAATGAATCCTCCAGTTTTTGGAGATTTGAGATCTTCAAATGTAACAGGGATTTTCAACAAGCAAATGGTGCATCTTAGGCCTAAATAAAACTGCTAGGATTTATGTCCTGCAAAAATCTGAAGTTCATGACTGTCCTATTAATTATAGACCTATATATATTTACATATACCTCCCTTCCTTAGACCAAACTGAATTAAACAATTATTGGCAATGTAGTATCAAGTGGTAATCCGCTTTGCACACAAATCCTTTTTTTCCCCCTCTTGCACATACTTCTTTGTTTTGGTTTTGCCTCAGTAATGCCTCACTAACATACAAACAAACAAGCGAGACGCTCCTGGGTGGTGCACTGCTGTCATGCCAAATTACACCGCTGGTAAATCATATCAGCTGCTGCAAACCCAAACCCACCTGACCCCGTCACTGTCATCGTTTTAATGAAAGGGAGCACGTACCATAAGTATTAAGAGGATCTGGGTAGCTTACAGCGGCAATTTGCAATCTTTTCTGATATGTGGGTCTCACAAAGATTTCCAAGGCAGATGCATCCCCCCTTGTACACTAAAGCCTACTGACTCTGGCTTGTTTTGTCAGTCACACGTAGCCCACAGACCTCCTCCAGGCTGTGGGTAAGAGTCTGAAAACTCTTCACAACATTTACAGAGGGAGCAACGATGCTGGCCAACATCTGCATAAAGAACAAGGTAAGAAAACTCGGAATAAATTGTATTTTTATTACGTAGCATGGAAACGGCTAGATTCCATTACTAGAGCAATATATTCAGATGAGAAAGGCTAACATTATTTTATTCATACTCTTCAGAATTTATAAAATCAAGCTCATCCACCAGTTGCTGCTGCTTTTTTATGCGAGATACCTGGAGAACAGCTGTGCCTTTGCTGATGTACTTACCCAGCAAACACCTCTCCATCCTTGTTTTTAAGGTAATCTAATGTCTCATGGCAGCTTCTCCATATCCGACACTAGCAGCTGAGGGATTTGAGCTTGCTCCAGCCTGGCTAATCCTCCAACTGGTGCAAGAGCCGCAGACTGGCAGCAGCAGTGGCAGCACTGCCTGCATCCTCCGGACATGCCCGGGGACGCTCACTCTGCCTCGCATTCACAGATGGGGAGGAAAGGAAATGCACCAGCAAAAAGGCAAGTACAGTGGATTAGCCTTGCCATGTGGAAGTGGAATGGCTCAGAATAATCTCCGCTGCAGTCCTGTGGCTGGATGGTGCCCACCTGCCTGCGCTACCAGGTGTCTTGTGCCACCTCCAGCTCTGGAGCTCAGGCCATCAGCTGCCCGAGGCCACTGCAACCCCCTGCCCAGCAAGCCTGTGGGCTCCCAGAAGATATGGTTCCCAGGAGAGTCACAGTCAGCCAGCATGGCACGGAGTCCTCCTCAGGCCTCGCCAGCCACTATAAGTCTCGCTGTACTGAAGTAAACAAGAGCATGCCACTGGTTTCATCAAAGCAAGTCTGGGACTCAATGTTGTCTCCATTTCAGATGAATTTTGGAACCCACAATTGCCATGGGCTCCTAAATTAGTCAAAATTAATTAAATTATCCTTACTTACAAAAAGCAAATGCAGTTAACCATACAGACATGAGGGCCTTAGCATGGCGTTCTTCATAATGCCATATCCAGATTCCGGTGCATACAGCAACTTTGCCTGCAGACGTTGCTGCCATTGAAAACTGCAGCAAAGAACCCCTCTGTAACCGCACGATTGAAATACGGATATAGGCCCCAGGAGCAATATTCAATGCATGACGACAAATTGTTACTGTAACATAAAGCAATGCATCGAGCTCCATCCCTGCTCTCCCTGCAGTCAATGGATGTTTTTCATCATTCATTTAAATGGAAACAGGATTAAGCCTGTTATCTGGCCTCCAGTGAAATAACAGAAACAAAGTACATAAACAAATAACATAAAACAAGTACAGCAAGAGGGGAATCCTTTCCTGCAAAGCACTTCATCAATCTTTCAAAACCTAAAATGCCCCCAGGGACCCACCACTAGCTTGCTGTCTCACCCTAAATGGAGGTGTAACTCTTTATGCCTGAAGACTCTGTACTTGTTCTACCCACAAAAAGAGTAATTCTCCCACTGCCACTCTGAGGGGCTTCCCTGAAAACAGTCCAGAAAACGTTCCTCTTCTAAAGGTCGGAGAGAACCTCTCTTATTACCCTCTGTGGAGTCCATCACTTTAAACATAAATCAAGCAATGCTGATTTCATGAAGCTCCAGCAAAATTTTCTGTTATTTTTGGGACCATATACCATTGATACTTATGTCAACTACACATAACAGGTAATAAATATGGTTTTTCGTGACACTACTGTGCACTCACATTTCTCCTCCATGAGAAGAGTCTGGCAGATACCAGTATTTATACACAAAGTCATGAGTGTAGCTTCTAGAACTTGCCTTATTTTCCTAAGAATACACAAAAGTTACTGAAAAATGGGTATGTGTTCGAGAAGACTCATGAAGTTTCACATACCTTTCCAAATATTACTAATTCCCCTATTGGTTTTTTTTATGTTACATTAACATGCAAGTTGCCAGACTCATCCACCTGGGTTTCCACCATAGGCAATTACTTGCAAAAAAGATAAAAATCGCATCATGGAGAGGTCTTAATTACAACATCATTCATGTTTGTGCATAACATCTACTTCAATGAGCTGCAGGATGCTCCAGGGCAGATTTGAGACATCTTATTTATATGCGGAAGGGAAGGGGTTCTTCCTAGGAATCCCTTCGCACCCAAATCCTAATATCCACCCATATCTATTCTGAAAACACTTTCTTCTCAGTGCTTTACATCTGTGGAAGGGCAAACCTCTGCACCAGGACCACTTGTTTGCCTGAAGTTAAAGCAAATATGCTTAACTTCAGGACTGACAGAAGCACACTGCACTGGGAAATGCATTATTTATGTTTCAATATTACAAAACTACATATTTAAAAAAAAACACATTTGCAGAAAACACTGTTTGCTTCATTTTGCATAACCCATTTTGACCCACTGTCTTTCATCTCTCCGTTCAGGATTCGTCTTCAAAAATTAGCAGATTAGCTAATTTGGAGCTAGCCCTTCTTGAAAGGGTCAATTCTGACCCTTGTTGCCCAGCCCCGGTGAGAGTGGGCAGCCAAGCACAGTGCCTGGGCTTCATGGTGCTTGGGCTGGCCACACAGGTCTGCTGTATCCTCCTTGCTGTGCAAGCTAAGGTGTCAGCAGCACTTCCAGCCCCAAATGAGTCACGTGAAGCTCAAAGGTACCAGTCAAGGTACATAGACTCCTGCATTCGAAGAGAGCAGTCAGGGGCAGCAATGAGGCTGCACTTCAAGACAGTGCTGGAGTGAAGGCAGCTTCATCCAGAAATGTCTCTCCTCTTCCGTTTGTGCAGAACATGAAAATGCAGTCCTTTCTTCCTGGCTTTTAGTAAATTTATGATTACCAAGGTCTCATAGCCAAAAGAGAGCCACAAAGGAATATGGAAAAGATAATACAGGGAGTCTTATGGAAAATATCTCTATTTTTTGTGAATTATCACCTGAGACTTAATGGTGCTGCTTGACATTACCTGGCTGACTGCATGTAACTAAACAGGAGGAGGAAACACAGGGGGAAATGAAATGACAGAAATGACTGTGGAGGTTGGGAGTGGGGGAGCCACGGATCAGTGATAAGTCCTCCTGCTTCACTCCGCCTAGCCCAGTGGGTTATCCAAATGTACAAGCAAAAAGCTCAGCATGGAAGCACAAAAGACCTGGAACAGAGAATAAACAGAAAAAAGGGAGTAAATCATAATGTTTGGATGCAAATCTTTGGTAGAGAGGCTCTGAAGGGTCTCCAAGGCTTTTGTCTCCCGTCCTAGACTGAGAAAAAGACGAGAGGCCAAGCTGCACTGCTCCTCCATTGACCTGTTTTCTCTACTAACAAGGTATCTTCTTATGAATGCAACTTTGGCAGAGCGTGGTACTGAGCCTTACCCCAGGCCCCCCATCCAGCACCAGCCCACCCAGAGGGCAATGGGAGAGGTTTAAAACA